GTTTCAAAAGGAGTTTTCTTTCGCGTACGACCTCTCTGTGGAATAGTTTACCACCGGCGATTTTTCAGGACCGATACGACCTGGGGACTTTCAAGAAAAGAGCTTACTCCTTTCTAAAGGGCCGGCAACGCACTTGCAATCCCCCTGGTGTTGCGGTTGATCATGGGCGGCGTGAGTCATTTAACATCAGGTGAGCCGCATGCTCGTTTGCCCCCCCTTTTATAAAAAAAAAACAACACACAACAACTGCACAATCCATAAAACACACTGTCATGAGCGAAGCGTATACCGATAGCGCTAAGCCCATAATATAGTACTCAAAATGCTACAATACCGTGGCTATAATGCTTGGCACATGCATCACCTTAAAGTAATTCGGTTGTTTGGATGCTTACAGGTACTGTCAATAATTTAAGATATGTGGACCTAACCAAAATACATGCAGAGTTGCCAGAGCTTACCTGGATTCCATGCCATCACCGGTTGTGATTTTTATCCTGCGTTCTTCACAAAGGAAAATTAAAACCATGCAAGACACTAAAAACACCCAGAGTACCAGGAAGCTTTCTAGAACTTCGGCAACAGCGAATTAATTGATAATTTAGATCATCAAAAAACATCTTAAATATTATTCAGAGATTTATATGCAATGTTTACAATGTCCCTAATGTGATCAATGTTGATGCTGCTAGACTTCAAATATTCGTCGACTCATATACAGTTTCCGATGTAAACAAAGCTTTTGACCGAAAGAAGTTACACTAGCTATCTACCACCTTGGAAAAGCGAGCTATTGCAGCAATTTCTGCGAGCAAATTATATATGTACCATTTCGAATAATGCTTATCTGAAAAATCCAACCACATATCAATCAGACAAGAACGACTGGGTACTGAAACACGACTAATTCAGTTCAAATGGTTTGAAGGGGATCAACTATCAAGTTATGTTAGAGGTTCGCTCAAAACTCAATCAGGTATGTAATTATTATGACAAATTAACGTATGGTAGTGAAAGTCGAGTGTGGCAGAAGAAACACGAGAGTAGAATAAACGCAGTAGAAATGCGGTCGTTAAAAGTTGGTAATAGGTACTTACATTGATGTTTTAACATTCCTCAACTAGGCAGAACAAAAATCAGGAAAAATTTTGCCAACATCAATGTATTTAATCCTTAGTAGACTAGTACGTTCTACTTTTACGAATCATGTCTTGCATGATGCTTTTTCAATAAAATTCGGACTAAAATTCAATAGTAATGATAACTTGAAAAATTTTGAAATAACACACAGCACATTAGCTAACTCACTTAAGCAGTGACGTCATGACGGAGTCATAGATTTGAGGTACAGATAAAATACAATTATTCTAAAAATTGAATTATAAATTTATAATGCATTTTTATGAATAAAAATCAACATTTCCCGTTTAATTTTTACAAAACCTATCATAAATATATATTTTTGATTATATATTATCAGACTCAGTAGACAGCTGTTATCGAGATCCAGAAATCACCCATACGAAGCCGGGGCAGATCGCTTAGTTTGCTATATTTATAAGGGTACAAAATAAAACTGTAGTCTTACACAAACATCTTTATTGCATCACTGTTTATTCGCTAGCGCACTAATTCCGAACAAGCTGTACACTTAGCACATACAGTTTGTTTTTTAAATCAAATGGACCACAGAGTAACCTATCTAATTTGACTTATTTTTTTTTTTTAATGGTGTTGTATATTGTGGTTAGATCACAATAATTCTGATAACGTCCGGTCTTCCAACAGAGTAAACATTAAATTACTATGATTCAAAAATACAGCCAACGATCACCTTTGTCATTACAAAATTGTCTGTAAATTTGTGACAGATTATGCATAAAAATTATAAAATATACTACTAGAAAAACATAAAAGACTTCTTCTTCTTCTGCCTCTAGAATAGAGATAAAATACAGGTAATTCATATTGAGTTATTGCAATGATTTTTCTCTTAGCACTGCTTCAGAAAATAACCTCTATCTTGGGAAGAACTAGCAAGAAACCAGCATGACTTTTTTATTTTTCAAAGTAATATATATATATATATATATATATATATATATATATATTAAGAAAGGTTGTATAAATTACTTACAAAACTTATATAAGAAACATCCTGGAAGCAACCACCCAAGGGGTTATTATCAACTCTATCCATGGCAATTTTTATGACAAACTGTGAAATGGTATAGACATTAATGTGCTACAAAAGTGAATAGTATAAAAACCTTTTCCATAAAATATGTAGTCATTCATGGTGATCAATCAAATGGTGTCTAAGACTATTAATCACAAACAAATATAGCAACACCCCTTTATGTATATATACATATTTTATTACATCACAGTACAGGTGTTTTTCTCTACAAGCAATTTACTGGCTGGTTTTAATGAAGCCATAATTTTTATATTTAAAACTATATACATGTGGTAAGACAAGATAGATGATAGGATAACGATGGGCTGTTTGCAGCAACTCCACGTCTGATCGCTTATTTTGCATGTAGGCAGGAATAAGGTCGGTTCGAGCCAAGAAGTTCAACAGCCCTTTGATGATGCAAACAACTTCAGAAGTGATCCCGAGATACACATTGATGAGATGAGATGTTTATTCATTCTCTTTATAAATAATATAATAATTTATATGTATTATGTGTGGTAGAGCCATGCTGCAGCTATATTAGGCGTGTGTAACTCTTTATGGAACCGACTAACTGATCCGAATCGCTGAAGTGGTTTAAGATTGCTTCAGGGGCAACGTTTCATATGCATCATTTGGATCTGAAACATTACTTTGATCTGTGTACATTTCGCGCGACGCGTCGCCTCGCAGCCTGACCGCCAGCGAGAGAGACAGACTGAGACACTGAGTAACTTAACTATTGACTCGCGAGTGTCGAGTGAGCGGGCAAAATAATTACAATCTATACAAGTTAGAAAGAGATAAATGAGAAGTGTATCAATCAACTCATACGGATTTTCGCTCTCGTTATTCATGCACGTAAAAATACCACTAAGACGCTTACATATCAAATACTAAACGGTCGTTTCTTGCATGTAATGTGTGCATTATAACAAGTTTTAATTTTATGTTCATGCGGCACTTGTCAAATTGTGTATGTTCATTCGCGCCTGGTTTACCAAAACTACCTTATGGAAGTGGATGCCGGCCCATAGACATCTACATCTTCAATTAAGAATCAAAATCCAGATGCGTTTCCAGTAAAACAGATAAAGATTTCAATTAACAATTTTATTTGATTGAACCCAGCTCATGTGCGAAGAAAGTTACGATGAGCACTTAGCCCCAGAACTTATTGGAGTAAATAACTGTTAGGTTACATATAATCTGAAATCTATGTAGGGTAGGACTATGGAGCACAAGTGTGCGCAAGCACAGGTTCACCATGGGATGGCAATCCCACACAACTGGACATCAGGTGCAGAACTTACCGCTTTACATGCTTTCTGAGGCACGGGGATGAACACCGTCACACCACTGACTCTGAGCTGCTACAAGAATTTTTGGACAGAAAAACTCAACTGATTTTGGCCCAACCTAGGATCAACCTGGGACCACATAATCTTCTGGTTATTATTTTAAAATAAAAATAATTCCATCGTTTAACTGATGATTCTCTGCCAACGTCAAAATTGAGAAATACAAGAGGATTTTTCCAAAAAAAAGAACCACCATTGGTCCACACAATCAGCAGTTGTTTAAGACACTAGACCAACAGTCATACAGTATAGGTGTTGTGATAATTATGTGTTATGAGAAGTAATGGAGGCCCACATATTAGTCCAGTTTTTCACATATAGGGATAAACACTTTCACTGTTCGATTTTCAGACACAATAGTGAGACAATAAGAATCAACTGTATAATACAATAGATGGGACAGGGAATGGTTTAACATGACTGTTCACGACCGACTATTAGCAACCATATGCCTCAGATAGTGATCGTTTTTGATTATAACATGCTCAGTGTAGCTCTCATGTAGAACAGGGACTTAGTGCTCACTGTAAATTTCACAGTACACATGTGACCAGTGTTCGATCCTGTCTTCTCAGTGTTGAAAGGAAAACATTGTGAGGAAACCGGCATGTCTGAGAAATAAGAAGGGAAAATATTTCGAAGCAATGTGATGTTCGCAAATGTTAGCAACTGGGGCTATTGGGGCAACATGGCAGAAATTTCCTTACCCTAAAGCCCTATCAGATATAGAGGCCTGTGCCCAGCAGCGGGACACAATATTGGTTGTAACTTTATGTTTTTATGTATGTATTATTTTTTGTTACTACCTGCTTACTCATTGTATCTTCGGCTCTCGTATTTATAGTCCTTTACCAGATAAATCTCTTTTATTATTCACAATTTGTGGATAATCCCCCAAAACCTCGGTAAAAACAAAGTCACTCTCCATAGTAACATCAAGTGATTGCTGAACTTCTTAAAAATCTATAAATTTATAATTTTTATTTTTTAGTTGACTATCTAATAGCAGCATTTCTTTATTCATTTAACTGTGGATCATCACTCTACTTTCCTGTATTCTCCTGAAGGAATTCTTTCTCTGGGGATATAATAGACACATCAAAAATATGCCAATTGAATTTAAATCCTTTCAGTTGTTTTTATTAAAGTATATTTAATCTATATACCAACAAACTCACCACTTGATACAAAGTATGGATAGCCATAAATTCTTCTAGTGTTTGTAAACAAACAAACATGTAATCCCTAATTACTTAAGTCTCCTTATAAATAAACAGAAAGACCGTGTTCATTATATTACGCGCATCACATACCTTCCATAAATTATTCATGACAGACGGAAAGACAATTTTTGAAAATGGTACGCACTTCAACTGATGACAATTTCACTATCACATTCTCACTTCACATAATGTATTTACACTGTGGTTAACACTAGTCCTAGGACACCATCAGCTCTAGAAGCCTTCCTGGTAGGCCTTGGACTCCAGCCTGGCCTGCAACAGTTCCAGTTGCCGTCGTGCTTCACATTGTGGGAAGTTGTTCAGTTCGTAGTACTGGGGTGCTATTTTCAATAGCCATTCCGCTGAGAATAGAAATAATGCACATATGTAAATACAGTAATAATAATAATGTGTTAAATAAAACTATTATTTATGGATTTTATCGCATTTAATTACTACTTTTACTTATTTTTATTATCCCGACGTTTCGGTTGCTTTATACCACCCATGGTCACTGGACTACGAGTATTCAATGCGTAGTGTTCGCATAAATTTAAGAATAATGTGTTAATTATTATATAATAAGGGTGACAGGTAGATGCTGTGGCTCACAGACATCTTTCCTTAATTACGAATCAAAATGCAAATGCATTGTCCCCCTAAGAACGGCTGAAGACTAAGATGGAATGCCTCGTTTCCAGTTTAAATTGTCTCCGGCTCTCTACACTCACCACACAAAACAGAGTCACAATAAGCTACTATTTTAAGCTGGTTTTCTGTGAAAGCTTTAGCGAATATTCAGATGCAGCTTCAGATGCCTAAAAACTAAATAAACACCACAAGATGGTCCCTCCCCAGTTGAGTCGGCCCATTCATACTAGAATCCATAATAATATAGCTGCGGTGTGTCTCAACCATGCATGAAAAACTTGATAAACTTGAATATTGGAAACTACAGTTTTTTATTATATTAAGTTGTTATTAGAAAGATGCTGCTACCCATTCCCTGTGTAATTAATAGACAGTAATGGTTTAAATAATATTTTTATTACTCAAAATATATTTGTTTATTACAATATAAATTGATAACTAATCTTGTGGTGTTTATTTAGTTTTTAGGCATCTGAACTTCTTGAACTGTGCACAAAATCAGTCCAGAAACTGCTAGTCAATATACACCTCACCGTTTTTTAAATTTCCGCTAAGAAAATTGAAAATTTTCAAAAATCGGGAAGTTATTGCTTTTACCCCGTTTTTCGAAAATTGAAATTTCATCAAATCTTGATGTTTTGAGGTCACAGGAAGCCCACCCTGACAATTTTTCAATGGTGTCGGTATGTATGTGTGTGTGGTGTGTGTGTGTGTGGTGTGTGTGTGTGTGTGTGTGTGTGTGTGTGTGTATGTGGTGTGTGTGTGTGTGTGTGTGTGTGTGTGTGTGTGTGTGTGTGTGTGTGTGTGTGTGTGTGTGTGTGTGTGTGTGTGTGTGTGTGTGTGTGTGTGTGCGCGTGCGTGCGTGCGTGCGTGCGTGCGTGCGTGTGGGGACGTATGTAAACCTCTTATAACTTTTGAATGGCTTGACCGATTGAAATGAACTAAGCGGTTTCCAAAGTGTTTCATCAAACTTAGATTTCCTGTGAATTTTAACTAATTCAGACCGGTAGATTTTGAGAAATCTCAAAAATAAAAATTTTGAAAAACTGTTTTTTTGGAATAACTTTTAAAGGGCTTTACCGATCGATTTCAAAAACTAATCATCTTTTAACCTTGAAAAACCATGTCGCTCGCCGCCGCTCCCGTCAAAATCGGTTGATTCGTTCGTGAGATATTGTTAACGAAAAATTTCGATTTTTTTTTTTAAATTACGCCGATATTTCATATTCAACGTCCATAATTTGGTGAAATTTGGAGCGTTCTGCATTTGAAATTAGCGGGAAGTTCCGGGGATCGCCTGCAGGGTCAACCAATTGTTTTTTCGTAATATCCCCCTGTATGTCTCAACCTGCAGAGAGGTGCAAGAAAGGGTGACGTTATTTCCCCGAAACTCTTCACCGCTGCATTGGAAGACATTTTCAAGCTACTAGACTGGAAAAGATACGGTATTAACATCAATGGCGAGTACATCACTCACCTTCGATTTGCCGACGATATAGTCCTTATGGCAGAATCGCTGGAGGACCTAAGCACTATGCTCTATGACCTCAATGGTGTCTCCTAACGGATATGTCTTAAGATGAACATGGACAAACAAAGATCATGTTTAATGTCCATGTCACAACTATGCTGGTAGTTGTTGGGAGCATTAAGCTCGAAGTTGTTGACGAGTAAGTTTACCTGCGACAAATAGTCTGACTAGGTAAGGCCAACTTCGACCGAGAGGTCAATCGACGGATTCAACTCGGCTGGGCAGCGTTCGGGAAATTACGACACATCTTCTCGTCAGGTATACCTCAAGACTAAATTGCACAACCAGTGCGTGTTGCCAGTGATTACTTACGGATCTGTGACATGGTCCTTCACTGCTGGCCGTATGAGGACGCTCAACGTCGCTCAGTGAGCTATGGAGAGGGCTATGCTCGGGGATTTTCTGCTTGATAAACTTAGAAATTTGGATATCCGCAGTAGAACCAGGGTGACCGACATAGCCCAACAGATTATTAAGCCAAAGTAGCAATGGGCCGGCCATATAGCTCAAAGAACCGACAAACGATGGAAAACAATTGATACATTTTCATTTAAAAGAAAAAGACTGTTAGTCTGATGTCGTAAAAACAACACTTTTACTCACGTTTAATATCAGTAACAGTTCTGATGTAATTCTTTGTGGTTAGTACAAACTCGTTGTATATGACCCAGTCCGGCTTGTGATCAAGGCACGTAGAGGGATGGAGCTGGACCACTTGGTTGTCCTTCACCGTTAGATAGTGACCGGTCCTTTCTAGATGTGCCACCTGGAAAATTTGTTTCAAAATTATATTTTTTATAAATATAGAATAAGGGTGACATACGAGCACACCGTCCACCTAATTGTGTGAGGATGCTTTGGCCCATAGACATTGATCCTTGATTAAGAATCAAAATTTAGATGCATTGTCACCTCTGTAGACTAAGTTAGAATACCTCATTTCCAGTAAGAAGGGTCTCCAGTTCGCGCTACACTCACCTTACGAAACACAACAGCATTAAGCTGCTATTTCATGCTGATATTCTGTGAAATTGTAGTCCTGCCTCAGTAGAGCCCATTAGTACTACAACCATAATATTAGCTGCAGTGTGGCTCTTACCACACATAACATTTCATCACAACTTACAATAAATTAAATAAAATAATTTCAAAAAATTAAGAGCTAATGATTTCCAAAACACCTTTCATTTAAAAAAACTGTAGTTGCTTAGTTTATAGAGCCTCGATAATCCAAACGACCCCCTGCTCATGCAAGCAGTTATCTCACAGAACATTGCAGTGCCGATCAGAAGATAATTTGCGGTCGATTGACAGGCTTAATTTAACAAATGAATCAAAACGTAATCGAGAACATTAAAGTGACATACAAAAAAACACATAACTTGTTCATTCAGAATGTACATTATCTGAAATTCTTAAAAAAAAACACCATTAATGAGGTTTTTTTATTTTATTTGCTTTGAATCTACATTGGTAACAAGTCTTAAATTTGATTTAAAAATCTTAAGCCTTTGTGGCCTCGTTATTAAAACCAGAGGAAACTTCTGGCTAAAATCTGGATGACTTTGAGCCTGAAGATGATAGAATATCTACATACTGTAATCCGAATAGGGTGTAAATTTCGAGTGTTCAGTTTAAGGAGGCCCTACTGTAAATCCAAATTGGTTTTTCCCTTTGGGAGCTACAATGCCATGGACAAACACACAAATACACACAAATTAAGCTTATACTCTTTTTCCATAGATTATAAATAATACATATTGAAGTCACTCTTTATGTTTAATTCACCACTGGTTTGGAAAATAACTCTGTCCTGAGAAGAATCAGCGAAAAACCCAGGTGGAACATTTTACATATATATATATATATTACACTTTTAACAATACAAAACAAATTAGAAATAACTGCTACCAAGCTATTTCACCAAGATTCGCAAAGGTTATTATCACCCATAAATTCTTTAATATTATAAAAACTTCTTTCGTCGGTTTTTTTTTTAACTTTTGATTTCATCGGTGGTTAAAAATGGAAACCATATGGTTATATGTAATTCACTACCCCATATCATCATGGTGGTGTCGGTAAGAGGCGACAGATGTAAACTGAAACGAGATGGCTAGCAGCATATTCTGTGATAACTCAAAATAATGAAAAAACTATAATGAAGACACTGCTGTCCATTGTTTCCCTTTTAAATTTATGACTTACAAAGTTCTTTTTATCCTTACCTGCATAAAGAATCCATTGACAAGTGCCTTTCGTATATTGATATAGTAGTCTTTACTTGTGAACTCTGTGCTCGTCCTCTTCAAGTTAAATCTGCAAAATTAAGTAACAGGTTCGACTGTCTCGTTAACATCCCACAACTCGGCACAGGCCCCCTACTCACTTCTATAAAGTAAAATAAAGAGGAGAATAAAATCGTTTTAGTTTTACAGGAGGAAACAAGGGTAATAATTTGGTTTATCCATTTCTAATGTAATAATTATAAAATATAACTAATGTTTCACAGATAAACATTAAGCTTTACACTTTCACAACAATTTTACAATTTCACTTAAGATTTAACACGTACAGTCAGTTTTTTGATGTAGGTACATTAGTTCAACTGATCATTTTAATTGACCGTGTGTGTGGCGACCACTAGAAGTTCGCTCTAGGTATGTAAAAAGTATTCTGTGCGAACTGCGAATTTGCGAATGAACTTCACAAAGTACATTGTAGAAGAAATCATAGAGGAAAGTAATGTATCGCGTACAATCCTCTTAGTAGTCTGTCTCTAGCATAGAATACTATAATACACAATAGAATGGCTGTCAACCTTACTTTGTAGGATTGGCGTCGCCGGGAGCACACATACAAGCAATTACGTCGCATTGTCAGTTATGACTACTACAAACACATTTTAGACTTTTGATTAATGTTTTTGACACATAAACGTTTCTTTATTTTTGTTTCTAATATTCACAAAATATAAATAGATTCGACTTGCTGGTTGTAGAATATGTCTCCTTCATTTAAATTCCATTTCCCGCTGTTCTCTTGACATGTAATTATTGCACAATTTGCTATTTTTTAAAAAATTTGCATGCAGCAAATCTTGACACGAAAATTGGAAGATTGTGTTGACATTTATATGTGTGAATTGACATGTTAGTGGCTACATGGGCGCCGCCCACTCCCCCATTCTATTATGTATGTACTTTAGTATTCAATGGTCTCTAGTATATACACAGTAAGCTATTGTAGTCTGTGGGTACATCCATACATCCTGGAGGAACTTATCAAACTAAACATAGTGGTTAGATAGTGATTATTAACCATTCACGTCCCGACAGTGAATTAGACAAATTAGTCAGACATAATATGGTCAAGCCAAAAAGTATAGTAGGTTAGTTAGGCCAATGACTATTTTATTTAAATTAAGGAAAATATAACTTAGAGTCACTTGTGTGAAATTAACTTTCCACGCTATGAAATCTGTCAAATATTTCCTCATTTTTAAGTGGCGCCGCCCTGGTGGCAGAAGTCGTTCCATCCACAACTCTAACGGTCAATGGTATAATATAATGGTATATATAACAATTTCTTCAGGAAATATTGGAGATGCTAATAGTTTTGATTAATTTCTGTAGATGTCATTACCTGTCCATGATTCTGCTAAGCTGTTGCCTGACATTATCACCAGACTTCAGTGATCTGTAATTGATGAAATTATCGTAGCACCAGTGCGGGTCCTCCATGTCTGTAATTAGCAGTTACAAAGTTTTTATTTTTTTACAGAATAAGGGTGACAAACGAGCATACAGTCCATCTAATAATAAGTGGATGCTGTAGCCCATAGACATCAAAATGTATCCTATATTAAAATGCAGATGCATTGTCACCCCTAAGGACTGACATGAAATGCCTCATTTCTAGTTAAAAAGGGTCTCTAGTTCTCTACACTGACAATACGAAACACAACTGTATTAAACTGTTATTTCACACTGGTATTCTGTGGGAGCACAGTCCTTCCCCGGTTGAGCCGACCCATCAGTGCAACTACAACCATAATATAGCTGCAGTGTGGCTCTACCACAAATAGTTTTAGCAACTGCCTCTTGGGGCCTACTGCTGGACATAAGCTTTCTAGACAGATGATGATATACAAGAGAATATTTCTAGCCATATATGACTGCAGTTTTAGCACCAGAAGAGTGCATCATGATCAGATATTAAAGTAACAATTGGGTACTAACATTCTTTATCCTACTATTATCTTTTATTGACTGCCTCGTCGGTCTAGCGATTGTAGTAGTGCAATTACCGATCATGAGGTCCTGGGTTCAAATCCCGGGTCAGGCCAAACAAAAATCAATTATTGAGTTTTTCTGTCAAGAAATTCTCAGTAGCTGCTCAGAGTCGGGAAGTTGGCGGTGTCTCACCTCCGTGCCTCGGAAAGCACGTAAAGCCGCTGGTCCTGCGCCTGATCTCTCTCCGGTCGTGTCGATTTATCCTCCCATCGGATTATGAGAGTGAGGGAATAGAGAGCGCATCTGTGCTTGCGCATACACTTGGGCACTATAATCCTGTCCTGCGCCGATGGCTAGCCTCCGTTGAGGCAGGCTGCCGTGAGCGAAATTCAGTCTGGAGGATATTATTATTATTATTATCTGTTATTGAAAATGATCGTCCTCTCTGCAAATTGAATTAATAAAACAAAACCAATACAAGAATGTTATTTTAATTATTTGTAATAATTTTTATACACGTAATGGTGAAAAGCAAGCTCTGCATGCATCTGATGGTAAGGAAATGTCATACCCCACACACATGTCTATTCTCGAAATCCAAATGTGCGTGCATTGTCACTCCTTAGAACTAAGATTGAATGCTTTGTTTCTAGTGAATAAGGTCTCCGTTTCTCCACACTCACCATACAAAACACAGCAGCATTAGCTTCTATTTTATGCTCATATTCTGTGAGAGCGTGGTTTTAATACGGTCGAGCCGACCCATTCATGCTACAACCATAATATAGCTGCAACATAGATTTACCACTTAAAAAGACTTGACTCCTAACTCACATAAAGATAACTGTACATACGCGGTAGAAGTGAAAGCCTCAGTAAAGGAGACAGAGATAACATGAAACTGTGTTTTCTGTATTCTATCCCATTCTCACAGGCTAAATCCTATAGATGTATATGTTAATCCCTTTTTAGTGCCGTTTTTTTCGTTTCAGAGTTTCAAATCACAATTTTAAAGAAGTTTCAACTACAAAACAACTAACTTACTCTGTTTAAACGCATGGTACACGTTGAGTAACGTGAGGTGGTCACCGTCGATGTGAGCGAAGCGCATCTTCGCTTCGTCAGCCGCCTTGCGGGCTTCGTTCGGCCTCACAAAGCACTGGGGAACTGTAGGGGCCACATATCAGAATATAATGCACAAATTGTTTATATCAAACCGAGTTTGAACTTGTATAACATTTAACTAGGAATCTAAGTTCTTTCGCGTGGATTTGTGGTCAATCAAATCTGATAAAATGGCACAGCCTGTCATCAGTCTCACATCTCACATCTGTTATGTATAGCTATGTAGGCATCTTTTAATACCTTTACTCATATAAAAAACATGTGCAACATGTTTGTTGTATAGTGATGAATGTGCACATCTTATAATAATATGTACATGCCGGGCAGTATATATGTGTGTTTAACTAAGCATCGTTTCACTTGTCCCCATTTGCATATTTAACATGACCATAACCAAGATCTGTCGGAAATGCATAAATTTAAGCAAAAAATCGCGACAAAAAGTAAACTCGGTTTCAGTAAAGTAATAATTCATTTCTTCTTCTTCTTCTTTCTTTTTTTGGCGGTTTTCGATTATTCGCCAATGTCAGCGTGGAAGTGTTTATTGAGTACAAGCTCAGTAGTTACAAATACTATGCCCATGAACTAAAGAAGATTGTGATAATACAAGTGTCTTGTTTTATTTCAACAATTAAATTTTCCTTTTTATCTTATAATACTAGTGGTTGTACTGTTGAATTACCTAGGACAAATGACAAACACAGTTGCTATAATTACTTTAGTATATTAGTATTGACAAACATTAAACTTTTATACTATTAGAGTTAATAAAATCACACAGAATATATACATAAGGAGTGTTTGTGTAGGTTAAAAGTGAATCAAAATTTATAGGACGAGGGATGTCAGGAGGGAGGTGATCATAGAGTGAAGAAGATAATTTAGGACAGTTAAAAAAAATATGGTCAGAAGTTCCCTCATCTAACCCACATTCGCAGAGGGAACTGTCCCTAATCCTCAGTTTGGCTAAATGTACTGGTGTACAAGCATGGCCAATTCGAAGTCTACAGATAGTTGATGTTGACTGTTTGTTAGCTTTATTAAATTTGAAAAACCATGGTTTTGGAGGAATGGCACCTTGTATAGCAGCATAGTGTTTACCTTTTATATTTTGAGTGGCTTTCCATAATGTATTCCAATTATTATTTAACTTCTTCTTTGCAAGTAACACTATGTCTGAAGAGTAAACTAAATTACATGGTAAACCATTTCGACTTGCATTTTTAGCCATCAGATCAGCTGTTTCATTGCCCTTGATGCCACTATGACCTGGAATCCAAGCTAAGGAAACCTGAATACCCTTGAGATGGCATGTATACAATGTGTGTTTAATTTTGAGGATCAAGGGTATCTTATATTTACTTTGGAACTGGTTTGACAAAATTGCTAACAAACAGCTTTTGGAGTCAGTAAGAATAACTGACTTATTTAGGTTGTGTGCTTCTATATAAATTAAAGCTTCATAAATTGCCGTGGCCTCGCCAGTAAAAGTGGAAGAAATAGAAGGGCATTTAAAATTGAGGATTATTTTGTATCTGGGAATCCAAACGGCTGCTCCAGTGCAACTTTCACCTGACTTTTTGGAGGCATCAGTGTATATAATAAGCCAGCCTTTCCATAAGTTATCTATGACTCTACTTAGTTTACTATTTGCTATAGGGCAATCTTTCTCAATACCAAGGTCGAGGTGGATATTTGGTTGATAAATAATTGCATCATATGGGATATCAAAGATGGGACAGGACTTGCATTGTGATACTGGTTATGGTAGATGGAGTAATGTTACCAAACTGTTGGATAAGCAGGGAGATTCTTTATGAGTCCAGTAATGCTTTGATGAAATATATTCCAAAAGAAGGTGTAATTTAGAAATGAGCGGGTGGGAAGAGAGTTGGTAGATTTTAAAAAAGAATCGGTCCGAAAGATATTGTCTTCTTAGGTAAAGAGGGGGATCTACACATTCGACTTGGAGAGCATTTATTGGGGAAGATTTCATTGACCCAATGATTATACGAAGGCTTTTGGCCTGAATCCTATCTAGATTCTTTAGGGAAGACTTATTACAGGGTTCCAAGACAAAGCACCCATAATCCAAATGACTACGAATAAGGGCATTGTACAATAATTTTTGAGAGAATAGGTGGGAGCCCCACCAAACTCCCGATAAAGCTCGAAGAATATTTATATTTTTTTCACATTTTTTGGAAACATAGTTGATATGATGGGAAAAGGCTAGTTTGGAGTCAAGAATAACTCCCAAAAATTTTACATTCTCCCTAATTGGGATAGGTTCATTATTATAGAGAATGTTGATTTCAGGGAGTTGCCTATGGCGAGAGAAGATCACAACACTGCTTTTGGGAACAGCCAAAGACAAACCATGATCAGTTAACCAATCATGTAAATAGGACATTGATAAATTCAAGCGGGAACAAGCTGCAGGGAGGTTATCCAAGGAAATATATATAGCTATATCGTCTGCATATTGGAGGATGTTACAGAATGAGTTAACAGAAAGCTCTAGATCATAAGTATAGATAGAATAGAGCAAAGGACTAAGTACTGAGCCTTGTGGGAGACCTTTCCATACTATTCTTGGTGGGAGTAGAGAATGTTGACTATCAATATAAATGGATCTAGAAGAGAGAAAGTTAGAGACAAAATTTACTATCCTCACTGGAATACTCAGATTGAGCATTTTTTGCCTGAGCATAGGAAGAAGTACATTGTCATATGCAGACGCGATATCTAGGAAGACTCCAACATTCATTTTTAGTAAACAGTTTTTTGGCTTTCTTTTTAATAAAACTGAAGCATCTATCGAAATTATAGTCCATCTGATGGTAACTTCAGTCAATAGATACCTGCAGCTGACTTCAAACATAGAAGGCTACAATTGCATTGACACCTGAATAATAAGGGTGAAAAGAGCACAACATCTACCGATGGTAAGTGGATGCTGTGGTCCATAGACATCCACATTTATCCTTGATTAAGAATCAAAACGCAGATGCATTTTCATTCCTGAGAACTAAGATTGAATGCCTCATTTCTAGTAAAAAAGGGTCTCCGGATCTCTACACTCACCATACGAAACACGGCAGCAATAATCTGCTATTTAACGCTGATATTCTGTGAGAGCGTGGTCCTTCCCCAGTCGAGCCGACCCATTCATGTTAAAACTATACTACACTACTTAGCACAAAAATAGAGAGGGAACCTACACAGTAAGACTAGTAGTCCTATAGATTCTTTAAATTTTTTATTTTATAGAATAAGAGTGACGAATAAGCGCACAGTCCACTTGATGGTAAGTTGATGCTGTGGCCCATAGACATCTACATCTATCTCTAATTAACAAAAAAATTCAGATGCATTGTCACCCCTGAGGACTAAGATGGAAGGCCTCATTTCCAGTAGTCTCAAGTTCTCTACACGCACCATACGAAACACAGCATACCATTCTGGGTTCTTCCTTGGCCTAGCCTACCCATTTGTGTATAAACAACCAAAATATAAACACAACATGGCTCTATGACCATGTAGAGCCATCATATGAATATAGCTGTCTCTTTAAATCCCATGATATAGTAAAGAAAACTAACCAGACAACATGGCTGTGATAGAGAGGATCTCATTTGAGCAGTTGTGATTGCAACTGGCTATCAGCATCTTGGCCAGCTGTGGGTCCAGCGGGAACTCTGCCATCACCGCACCCAAGTCCGTGAGGTTGCCATCGTCATCTGAAAATTTGATTATTAAATTTTAAACAGAAATTATTCCATGTTACTATACCTCCCTCTCTCTCTCCCTATAGGCTGTCTCCTTCCAAATGAAACAACTGTGGAAGAAATGTTTCTTAGGCTAAAAAAGAGGTAAGATGTATATGCATCATACCACATCCTAGTAAAACCAGTAACCACTACTGTATTTTATTATTAGCAAAGCCATTCAATTATGTAGTGGCGGTGAGAGAATACCCACTACCCAATATCATCACGCGTGTGTCGTTAGAGACCACAGAGGAAACCTAAACCAGGAGATGAGCAGCAGCATCTGTAAACCTTTCCTACAATTTCTCCTTTTTGTGCAAGCCAAAAACAGTATTTTCATACCGTACATATATTTCGTTTGTATTGTCCTTGAATTATTATTGTATTGATATTGAATTATTTACGATCCATACCATACTAGTGATCATTCAAATTTCATACTATATAAAAATTAAAAAAAAGCGCAGTTACAATACCACATTAAGAATGGTTTACTGGTCATATTTTCTCTACATGACAGAATTTTAAATTAAGAAATCTGAAGTAGAACCAGGGTAACCTGCTTAGCCTAAAGGATCAGTAAGCTAAGTGGCACATACAGGTCGAAGAACTGATAAATGACTAGGAAAGGTTTTAAAGTGGCAGCTTAAAATAAGCAGTATATGACATTCTTTGTTTCTTTTAAAAAAAATTACCTTCACACTACAATTTTCTCCCGTATCATGGGAGCAATTTTCATACATAAATTTCACTAGGACAAACATCCAGACCAGAAAAATATATTTGTAAATCATACATATACTTGTTTTATGCTAATGACAGCTTATTGTTAGGGACCCGTGCTATGGAGCCATCAAAGAGTATATGAAAGTGATTGGAAAAAGATGCAGGAAAATGGATCATTTGACTCAAAACCATGCTTTGTGGTATTCCTTGGAGGTCTATTTTCAGAAGTGACTATAATAGTAATGAATACCATTCAACTAGAAGCTTTTTATGGATAATCTGATTACACAGAAAGGCCCGGATTATAATTCTGATCACATAGAAAATTATAAACATTAGTGACTTTATACACTTATTACAGTTTCTTTGAATATTTTTAGGAACATGAAAAAAATATTTAGTAAAAAACAATTTAAAAATTAAAAACACTTAGAACAACAAATAAATACATGTTTTTTGAAGACTTGCCACAACTCAACAGTAACTCTTGTCATGGGTTGATGGATGCAGGTGGCTCAGGACCATGCTTTGTTTCATTTCTTGAGGGAGGCCTATGGCCTATTCAGCAGTTGATTTCTGAAGGGCTGTAATGATGATGATGATGATGATGACAAATTGCTCTCTGCCCTTCCTGCCCTTTGCCCTAGGACATAAATAGAAGCATATGTTTGAAGTTGGGGGAGTTGAAGTGGAGTATAAACATCCTGAGCCCTTTTATCTTTTTCTACTCCCAAATCATGAAGCATTATCACTCAGAGAGAATGAAGCAAATTTTTGACAGTATCGATGCGACGTAAGGCTGTACTTAAGTAAGAGACTTAGACAATACATGGAGTCATCTTTTTTATCCAAACATAAATAGTATATAATGACATCAATATCATCATCCAGTTCTCTGATAGTGAGAGTGCGGAGTGCTCAGATATATGTAGTGTCTGTAATATTTGACACACTACCAAATATTCCCAAACAACACAACACACCGCTCAATAAAGTCACCAAATATTCCCCCAAAATGTTCCGTTACTTCTTAAAAGAGATTACTTTGAATGCTATAGTGTAAGCAATACTCGAAAAATTTATGAAAAATTAGCTAAAGTGTAATTTTTTATAGATAACAACATTTACAGTGAGAGCTAAGGCCCTGATTTACCACATACTCGGTGGTGAAGGTAAACATCGTGAGGAAATCTGTATGACTGAGAAATAAAAAATATTTCGAGGAACTTTCTTGCTCTAAAACACTCTCAGAAGTGAGAGAAGGCTTGTGCCCAGCTGTGGGACGTATATAGGCTGTACCTTTTACTTTTTATAACTTTAATAACAATGGTCATGGATGATGCCAGTGGCGAAGCCTCCATATGAGCCGAAAAGCAGGGCTTGCCTTTTCAATTTGCTCAATCAATAATATAAACTAATAAAATAACTCGTAAAGTGTTTCAAACTATTTCAAATTTGGAGCATATATGTAACGTCAACACATGGCAGTTTGCTTTCAATTCGAAATACACTGATTCGTGTTCTGTCTCAAAGCAAACACAGTCGCGTCTCTCTCGCACGCGTTGGCTTTTTACCGGGCTTTCGAGAAAACGATCGCTCCCTTTCTAACCTGTGGCAAAATGTTTCATAATGAAATATAACTACGAAATTTTTATATAGTAACTACTATGGAACCAGAAGCTGGGCTTTGCTCTGAAGTTGTTTAGGACTGCGGGGGCGTGCGAGCGATACGTTTGCATGTTCACTTCACATTTCAATGTGTCTGTTGAAAATTTATGCTTTTTCAAAGATTTTTTTAGTGAAAATGGAGGATAATATTGGAGTATATGGTGTAGATCGGAGTGTATATATAGTGTTCCTTGTGATGAATTGAAATGTGTTAAAGTGCTAATCGGCGAGGAAAAGATAAAATCTTTAAACTTTGTTGAGAAAATACACAAGTTCAAGAGCATCTTTCAGGCTTATAAATTATCGCAATTGAAAAACAGTTATAGGTACAAATAAAATGTTCACCAATATGTTACACAGACGTAATCAAATCCTTCCTTAAGAAAGAGAGAGACCATGCAATTTAGAATATAAATAATTTATTTTTTTAATGTTGTACATACAACGCGGTCACATTAACTTGACCCATGGCTTTGATGACGTCATTTACAACAGTGTAACAGAGATGATAACCATACTAACGATTGCCGGGCGAGCTAAGGGAGTGCGGGGGCTAGCGGGCGGGGCCTCGCATTCCAGAGATGCGTCAAGGTCAAACATGTGACCGCAATATAGTTTGTTTGTACTTTGTTCATGTATAGTATTGTATGTAAATATCTTTTTCTTTCACTCAAGCAAACCCATATGGCTTTTTTTAAAGCCACCGAAGGTTTGCAATTGCTGATATATCATACAATCTATCTAACAATAGTATGCCTTCTGTGTGCTTTGTTAAAAATTTCCTCGACAGCCCTGAATATGTAACTGAAGCATGGAGACAGATCAAGATTGGTGTATTTTTATAAAACTGCTAAAAACAACAAAACCATATCTTGGGCTTGTCCTAGTTTGGTAGTTCATCATCATCATCATCATCACAGCCCTTCACAAGTCCACTGCTGAACATAGGCCTCCCCCAAGTAATGCCACAAAGCACGGTCCTGAGCCACCTGCATCCATCGACTTCCTGCATATCTTACCAGGTCGTCACTCCATCTAGTGGGGGGTCGCCCTACACTACGCCTACCGGTACGAGGCTGCCACTCGAGAACCTTTCTTCCCCATCGGTTATCGGTTCTTCGAGCTATATGGCCGGCCCATTGCCACTTCAGCTTACTAATCCGTTGGGCTATGTCGGTCAATCTGGTTTTACTGCGGATATCCTCATTTCTGAGTCTATCACGCAGAGAAACTCCGAGCATAGCCCTCTCCATAGCTCGCTGAGCGACCTTGAGCGTCCTCATACGGCCAGCAGTGAAGGACCACGTCTCTGATCCGTAAGTCATCACTGGCAACACGCACTGGTTGTACACTTTAGTTTTCAGAGATTGAGGTATACCTGACGAGAAGATATGTCGTAATTTCCCGAACGCTGCCCAGCCGAGTTGAATCCGTCGATTGACCTCTCGGTCGAAGTTGGACTTACCTAGTCGGACTATTTGTCCCAGGTAAACGTACTCGTCAACAACTTCGAGCATAGTGCTCCCAACAACTACCGGCATAGGTGTGACATGGACATTAAACATAATCTTTGTTTTGTCCATGTTCATCTTAAGACCTATCCGTTGGGAGGCACTATTGAGGTCATTGAGCATAGTGCTTAAGTCCTCCAGCGATTCTGCCATAAGGACTATATCGTCGGCAAATCGAAGGTGAGTGATGTACTCGCCATTGATGTTAATACCGTATCCTTTCCAGTCCAGTAGCTTGAAAACGTCTTCCAAAGCAGCGGTGAAGAGTTTCGGGGATATAACGTCACCCTGTCTTACACCTCTCTGCAGTTGGATAGGTTTCGAGCTCTGGTTCTGTACTCGGATAGCCATCGTAGCCCTACTGTACAAACACTTCAGCACTTCAATATACCGACAGTCAACTTGGCACCGCTGAAGGGACTGCAGCACCGCCCAAATTTCGACGGAATCAAAGGCTTTCTCATAGTCCACATACGCCAGGCAAAGTGGCAAATTGTACTCTTCAGTCTTCTGTACAATCTGCCGCAGGGTATGTATGTGGTCTATGGTACTGAAGCCTTTTCGGAAACCGGCTTGTTCGGGAGGCTGGAAGTCGTCGAGTCTGCGTGCGAGACGATTCGTAATGACTCTCGAAAACAGCACGTAGACGCGGCTCAGAAGGGAAATCGGTCTGTAGTTCTTCAAGAGAGCGTTGTCGCCTTTCTTAAAGAACAAGACCACCGCACTTCTGCTCCACGCCTCTGGAGTAGTGCCACCATGGAGGACGGAATTGAAGAGCTTCTGAAGGACTTCAAGTACCGGTGTTCCACCCGCTTTCAGAAGCTCCGCTGTAATTCCATCCTCGCCTGGGGCCCTGCCGTTTTTAAGGTGCTGGAGAGCCATTCTAATCTCGCTTAGACTGACGTCCGGGATATCATCGGAATAGTGTCGGATAAGACTTGCTCTTGGATCGTTACTCACACTTGCGTGTGGCTCCAACGATGATGTGTACAGCTGCCCATAGAACCTCTCAATCTCACTCAAAATCTCAGGTGTCCCGGAAACGATGCTGCCACACTCAGTCTTCAGCCTTGACAGTTGGCTCTTTCTGGCAGATAGATCTCTGGCAAAGACTTTGGAGCCCTGGTTCCGCTCGATCGCTTCTTTAATACGAGCAGTATTAAAGTTGCGTAAGTCTCGCCGCATGCATTTGGAGATCTGTCTGTTCAGTTGCCTGTATGCTGTCAAATCTGTTGACGATTGCAGCCTCATCTCCCGTCTAACAGCCATGAGATTAAGAGTGTGATCGGAGAGTTTTTGTGTTCTTCTGCGGCGGGTCTTGCAGAACTTAGCTCCGACCGCATGGACAGTTTCCACGAGCTTGTCATTCATATCGTCCACTGCATTGCAATCTTGTAGGCACTGAAAGCGGTTGTGTAACTCGAGCTGAAAGTTTTCGGGATTTTGGATCAGAGCACGAGGGGGACGGAGCGTTGACTTCATTAGACGAGACCTCTCCAACTTAACGTTTAGGTTCAGTGTGCCTCTAACCATTCGGTGATCGCTGCCAGTTTTCACCCTTGCGATCACTGAGACATCACTGAACAGTTGGCGTCTGGTCGTCATAATGAAGTCAATCTCATTTTTTGTCGAACCGTCGGGGCTCGACCAGGTCCACTTCCTGTGGGGCCGCTTCTGGAAGAAAGAGTTCATCATAAAGAGTCCCTCTTTCTCCATAAAGTCGGCCAGCTGCTGGCCCCTTCGGTTCCGTTGCCCTACTCCAAATTTCCCTAACTTCAGCTCACCGCTTTCTCTTGTGCCTAGTTTTGCGTTGAAGTCTCCCATCAACACCGTGTAGTGGGTTTTGGAGGAATGTATGGCTTTGGAAATATCCTCATACATTTCCTCCACCTCCTCATCGGAATGTGCCGACGTTGGTGCGTAAACCTGTATGACCTTCAGCGAATACCGTTTGGTGATTCTGAGTATCAGGTACGCGACCCTCGTCGACACACTCTCAATCTGTACAACGTTGTTGACGAGAGACTTGTGGACGATAAATCCGACACCTCCTTGGGACAGATGGTCGCCCTCCCGGTGATAGAACAAGTTGCCGGATTCGAGAATCACCGTGTCCTCCCCCTCTCTTCGGACCTCGGATAATCCTATAATACTCCAGCGCAACTTGTCTATCTCTTCTTCCAGCTCCAGGATCTTCTCGTCAGTCCTCAGTGTGCGTGCGTTAAATGTTGCCAGGTCGAGTCGTCGTAGGTGGCAACCGAACCTCCACCGGAGATTCTTAGCACCCCCCTGCCCCGCCGTTACCATGGTCGCCACCGTAGCCAGGAATAGCGGGGCCGCCGGGGACTGGGGGCCGTCTATTTGTGTAATTGTTCATGGGGGGTATATTGCCATAGTTGCCACGCTTGGCGAGCGGGTTGGCAACCGCAGTTTTTTTTTGTCGTACAGTTGCTGTTATCAGGAAGATGCTGCTGCCCATCTCCTGCCTGTCTCCCTCTGTCGCCTCTTACGACACCCACGGGAAGATATGGGGTAGTGGATATTCTTAACCGCCACTACACGGCAACGGTTTGGTAGTTCGTCACTGGATAATGTCAATTTCGTCGTACTAAAACTGATTTAAAAAGTGGTAAAATAACATTTTTGTACAACCAACTTTAATATAAATAAAATGAGAAAATCGTCAAAATTCAAAAACCACTGGTTAGATCTCCACATGACCACATGAGAAGTACCAGCTATCAAATAAATAAAGAATCTTCAAAATCGGTTCACCTAGAAAAAAGTTCTGAGGTAACACACAAAACAAATACAGTTGAATTAAGAACCTCCTCCTTTTTGAAGTCGGTTAAAAACAAATATGTGGAGTCCCCAATGACCATATGTTGTGGTTCTAGAGTTATAATTAGAGATGGGCCGAATATTCGTTTTATATTCGGTATTAGGCAGGTTTACCGAATAATCGTATTCGGCCGAATATTCGGCTAAATCACCGAATATTCGTTAAAGTGGTAGGTACTCAAAGTATCCACTGTATGGAAATGTATGAATTGAGTAATGTCATGTCTTTCATCATTTTACTGTTGAAAATATATTTTATTTATGGGTTAAATCTACTTGTATAGCGTTATGTTTTTGAGGCACTGTAGATTTATTTCCAATTATAGCAAAGCTTGATAAAATTTTGTTTGGAATCAAAACAAAGAAACCTTCTATTACAGTCGTCAGTTTCTCTAAAATTGGTCTAAATAGCCTATCTCCTGCCACTCATTTTCATCACATACTTATCAATTTTCACTAAGAATACTTTTTTTTCTTAGCACTGTAGATTTATTTTCGATTATAGCAAATAGAAACTTTATAAAATGTTTTTGGAATCAAACAAAGAAACATTACATTACATTAGTACATTTCACTTTACTTTGGTTATCAGTTTCTCTAAAATAAGTCTAAATAGTAAATCTCCTGCCGCTCATTTTTATCATATAATTATCAATTTTCACTAACAATAAAACAACGAAATACTTTTTTATCACAAAAATAGTCAAAACATAAGCATGTGCCGGCAATTTGCTCAGTACTAGATGATGCAATAACGTGTCAGGTGTGGCGGGGGAGCAAGGGGAAGGGTCGGGCGCTAATCCCGCACGCTTTACGGTAACAAGTTTCGACATAAATTGGTTAGGTACCGAGGTAATCCTGCCGAATAAAGTTCGGCCGAATATTCGGTTCGGTAAAAATTTTACCGAACTTGCGGCCGAATATTCGTATTCGGTGAAATCCATATTCGGACCATCTTTAGTTGTAATAGTAATTTACTTTTACTCTACTCACCCAAGGCGGCCAGGTAGTTCAATAACTCAAGTGCCCTCATCAAGGTCTCGGGCGCCGGCGGGTCCATGAAGTCAAAATGCACCAGGTCGTCGATACCCAGCTTTTTCAACTGCAAAACTACAGATCCTAAGTTTGATCTGCAACGGCAATGCAGGCAAGGCATTAGATTCTGTTGCGGACTGAACTTGTGTTGTTTATTATATAGATTGTTGAACAGAATAATTAGTGAGAATGCAAATTAATACAGTTACAGACTATTAAAGTCCACTGCTAAACAAAGGCCTCCTTTATTTGCCTCATAGGGGGGAATATTTGCCATAGTTGCCCGACTTGATTAACGGGTTAGCAACAGCAGTTTTTAATTTTTTTTGCCCTCATTCTTTACACAGGAATATTGACCCAGTTACTTTTCTAACAGCTTCGGCACTCAATTTGTTGAATATGAATCCTATCTTCAGCTACAAATGAATTGTCTGGGTTCGAGTTTTGCCTTTTGCTATATGCAATTTTTAGTGAAATTTATTTTTTCACAGTTAATTCAAAAGACATTTTCGGAATCCAAAACCAATGTAAAAGGCTTGACAAACCTAAATTGAAAACAAAAAAAAAACTCATTGAATGTCTACTTCATAATACTGGACGAAATGACATACTTGCATTTCATTATAAGCAATTTTTAGTGTAATTTATTTTTATCGTAATTAAAACAAAACACATTTCCGACAGTGTGATAGGTTCAAGTTTAACCCTAACTAACCTCGTAAACTAAATACATTATTAAAATCATATACCAGACCATCTACAGCCAACCCAAAATGGCTAAGAAGGTGCTATCTACCCAGATGGTCTCCTAGGCATAAAGTCTTCCTAGAAAACTGCAGTTCTTTTATTATAATTGATTGTTGTCATGAAGACACTGCTGATAATCTTGTTTCAGTTACCCAATGTCGCCTCCTACCACACCACAGGATTACACATAGTACTGGATTCTCTAACTCAACTCAACCGGGGGAGGACCATGCTCATATAGACTAGCATGAAATAGCAGCTGTTGTGATTTCTATAGTGAGTGTAGAGAACTGGAGACCCTTTTTAATGGAAATGATACATTTCATCTTCATGTCTGGTCAAGATAGATATAAAGAAAAGCCAAAGAATTGCCTAAAGAAGAACTCCGACCCCATAATGGGAAATGATTTAGAGAATGATGATGCTCTGGGGTTACTTACTCTCCATTAGTTATTCTGAAACCATAAGGACTAAAATTCATAATTAAAAAAGTAATAAATATATACAAAACCGTTTCACCCAATCACCTCAGAATCTCTGGATAAGTGTTATCCTGCATTTCATTCTTGTAGGCCTTTTCCGTGTAAAGTCTGAAGCACTTGCCGGGCCGAGTACGTCCAGCACGGCCTGCTCTCTGTTGGGCAGAGGCCTTACTGATTGGTGACACTAACAGGGACTCCACTCTGATACGAGGATTGTACACTTTCTGCTTTGCAAATCCAGGGTCTATCACAAACACTACACCATCAATGGTCAATGATGTTTCAGCTATATTTGTAGAAACAACAACCTTCCTCCCTATAGCACCATTGGCACGGTTCGGAGGAGCTGGTTCGAAGATTCTTTGCTGCAAATTCGGTGGTAAAGTTGAATACAGTGGAATGCACTTAAGTTCACCAGCTTCTGGACCTAAATTATCTATTTCCCTCTTTATTCTCTTACAGGCATCCTCTATTTCTTCTTGACCAGTCAAGAACAGTAAAATATCTCCCGCAATCTCTTCACATAAATGGATTTGTATGACAGTTCGTATTGCTGCTTCCAAGTAATCCCTTTCCGGTTGTGGTGTGTAGAAAATTTCTACAGGATGAGTCCTTCCCGGAACATTCATGAGTGGGGCATTATCAAAGTACTGCTGGAACTTGCCAGCATCTAACGTAGCTGACATAATAACTAATTTCAAGTCTGACCTTTGCTTTATCACTTCTTTCAGGACTCCCATAAGGATATCCGTGGCCAGAGTTCTTTCATGAGCCTCGTCAAGTAAAATAACCCTGTATTGCTCCAACATTGGATCTGACATAGCTTCTCTTAACAACATACCGTCTGTCATGTATTTCAATACGGTTTGGGGTCCTGAACAATCTTCAAAACGAATACTGTAACCAACTTGTTGACCCAAAGCAACATCCATTTCCTCTGCCACTCTCTGGGCAACGGACATAGCAGCCACTCTTCTCGGCTGAGTACATGCTACACCTGTGGATTTGCCAGCCGTAACCGCAGCAAACTCTACAGACCACTGTGGTATTTGCGTTGTTTTTCCGGAACCTGTCTCACCAACCAATACTACACATTGGTGTGTATTGAGGAGTCTCATGAAGTCATTCTTGTACTCCCACACTGGGAGACCGAGTCGTCGACGTAGAAGCTCATGGTAGCGTTGGGAGTGTGGTAGACCTGGAAACAAAAACAAAAACTAATAATATTATGTAAAAAATACAATGGTGACAAGATAGCCATCAGCCATTTATCCATTACATTCTATGAAATTCCACTTATGAACATAGGCTTCCCTCATAGGGAGGATTTATGCTATGATGGCCTTTTACAAAAACCTTTTATAAAAATCTAAATGGAACCAAGAAATCTGAAAAAATCTGTTTTGATATTTGTGTTCTGGTTCATTTGTTTTTTTCATTTATTTTTGTTTTCACATACAGTTAGAAGTATAACAATTAATAAGGCGTAAACATAAACTCTTGAGTTTTACGGTACACCCTAAGCCGTCGTTATACATTAATAAAGATTAAGACTATTTATAACATATTTGCTACAAACTTCATACATCCATACTTAAATAACAATCACAAGACAGCTACACATTTTGTAAACACAATGAGGGTATATCACAAGATAAGATTATGTAAAAACCTTTTGTGGACGTTCCTATGCAGCACTATCTTCATTTTTTGCTACTTTTTTTTTCTACAGGATGTTTTTTTTAGCAAAACATTTGTAACAGGTATGGTATAAAGTGTGGTTTGTGATTATTATTATATAGTGTTGTTAGTTTATATTTATCATGTATATGTATTTTATATATTTTTTTTTTGTATGTGAATAAATTTGTTATCATATTATATATATTAATATTTAGTGTTTATATTATGTATATGCTTACTTGAATTTATTAATTGCTATTATGTAGATAGATATAATTATTCTAATGTATAAGTATATTAATATTGTATATTATTGTGTAAGTAATGTTTTAACAATTATAATGTATGTTATGTGTATTTTTTGTTTATTATTTGTAGAAACTATTGTTTCAAGATGTTTTTTATATTTTTAGATGTTTTTTTTTTCTTTAATAGCATTAGGTATAAGGTTAATTAGGTAAGGTATTATGTAATTTAATCGTCTTTTACCATACAGGTTATTATAAGAAGGTAGTTGTAGTTTGATGTTATCTTGCCTACGGATTGAATAATTTTGTGTTTTTGTAGATTTTCAGTAAAATAATATTGTGATAAAAGAATTAGTTCTACTTTTTCATGAATTGGTAATATTTCACAAAATGCAAAGAGCTTACGGTAATCTTTAAAAGTGTTTTATTTTATTTTATAGGAACTATTCTTTTTAGTATACGTAGCTGGAGTGAAAAAATATTGTCTAGGTTTGTTTTAGAGGTTCTTCCATAACTGGACAACCCGTAGGATATTATAGACTCAGCCAGGGACTTATAAAGTAGTAGAAGTGTTTTATAAGGAATTTTAGGTTTAATAATTGAGAATTTGGCTAATATTACCCTTAGTTTGTCGCTCACATGGTTAATATGCTCCTTCCAGTTTAGCCGATCGTCGATTACGAGTCCAAGGTATGTATATTTACTTACTTGTTCTATAGCATCACAGGTACATTGCAGAGTATTATTTGATTGTTTTAGATGTATATTTATAGACATTGATGGTTGTGTGCTATAAGTTTTAATCTAAAAGTGCTTCTGTTTTTACTAGAGCTGATGTAAATTAGTTTGGTTTTGTTTGAATTAAGTACAAGTCCAACATCATGAGACCATTTCACTAATATGTCAAAATCCCTTTTGAAGTCGAGTAAGGGCATCTTCGATGTCTCTTCCTGTGGCAACTAAGCATGTGTCGTCCGCAAACTGGTACAGCTCACACGGTTTGATTGCTTTTGAGAGATTATTTACGTAGGTAAGTTAATGCAAGGGTCCTAAGATGGAGCCTTGGGCAGTACCTTCTGTTGCTAAAACTGAGAAACTATCCGCATTAATGACCCTAACTTGATAGCTTCTATCATGTAAGTAGTTTTCGCACCAAGTTAATAGATTACCTCTGACCCCACTGTCGTTCAAGCTTTGTAGAAGCTTCTCGTGTCTCGAGAGTATGAAATGCCTTGCTGTAGTCAGAGACTACCAATATATGCTCTTTTTTATCCAAATGGTTATAAATGCTGTCAGGGAAAGTGGATAGCAGTTGTGTCGTACTTTTATGTGGTTGAAATCCATATTGGTTGCAAGTTAGTATACTGTTATTGCCATAAGTGTTGTATTTGAGTTCCTATATATTTTTCTACTACTTTATTGATCGTAGGCAATATGGTTATCGGTTTATAGTTGTGGTAGTCCGCCTGGCTACCTTTTTTATGAATTGGTCTCACAATGCCGGTCTTTAGTAATTTTGGGTATTTGCCAGTGAGAATGCATGCGTTTATTAGTTTAGCAATGGTTAATGAAATTTTGTCACATATCTTTTTTATATCAATGGCTCTTATCCTATCTATTCCGGGAGCTTTGTTACTATTAAGGGATTTTATTATTTTTGTTATTGATTTGGGTTCTGCAGACCTAAATCTCATACTCACGTTTGCTGAAACTGCATAGTTAGGTTTTTTTGTCGAGCAAAAGTTCGGGACATTTTGATATTATTTGTTTGACACTATTATTGAATGTGACAGCGAATTTATTTGCAATGTCTTTCGATTATTTGTTATTGCTGCCAAAAAGCGTTCTAAGCCTTCATCTATAGACGATTTTATTCTACCTGTTAATATGTTTTGAAACACTCTATTTTAATAGCGGCTTCAATAGTGTTTCACTACGTGTTCAATTGAAAAACGTTGCGAATGTAACGATGTCCGTTTTACGAGAAAACTTGTTTGTTACCGTTTCGTATATAATTAGACATGGGGTTAATGGTTAAATTTATTTATGTGTTTAATCATTTCGCACATTCAATAAAAATATGGCAGCACTTGAAAAGATTTTTAACGAGCAAACGATGCTTATATTAATAATTATGATTACGATAAATTCACCCACAGTAGTTCAACATAAAATATTGAATATAAGTTTGATTTTACAGCAAATAATTAATTACAATGCTTATTTTTAGACATATTAAGCCTAAACATTTTTTGTAATAAATCAAATGAACAAATGTATGTTGTTTTTTGTGATCATTAACTTCTGAGCAGGCGTGTCGATTCACTTAAAAAAAAAATTGATCTCCAATTCGATTTGTATCGACTATACTAGAATCAATTCGTGATTAAATTGAGCATTAAAAGATCGATTTTCGATTAATCACACATTTAAATTTAAATTTATTAAAGTCTCAATACATTAACAAAAGAGCAAACTGCAACATACATTCCTCGATAAATCAAATTGCAATGAATGCTACACAAACTCAATACTGTTTTTTCTTTACTATAAACTTCGACACACAGTATAATTTTCATAAATAAAGTAATTAGGTTACAGGCCGGGATTCACAGATTAGATTAGAAATGACAATGACAACTTTTATTTACTAGTTATGTGGTAGAAGCATGATGCAGTTGTATTAGTAGTAGCACAAATGGATCGGCTTGGCCGGGGTAGGACCATGTTCTCACAGAATCACAGCGTAAAGTAGCAGCTTATAGCGTTTAAACTTCAACTGGAGAATCTATTTCTGTAGACGAGGTAATCGATCTTAGTCTTCAGGGGTGACAATACATCTGCGTTTTTAATCCTTAATCGAAGATAAACGGAGATATCTATAAGTCACAGCAACCACTTACCGTCAGGTGGCCAGTTTGCACATTTGGCACCCTTATTCTATAAAAAACGTAAGTAACGACATATTTGGATGCGTTTATAAATATATATGTTGCGCTCAAACTGTGGTTGATACCCAAGTATAATACGACCAGTTGTTTTAGCGTCCAACAACAGGAAAAAATTTTAATGTAGCGATACATTTAAATTTTTTTGCTGTTTTTGAATCAGTCTGATTCCATAAGTTTTTAAATCGATTCATCCAATTGATGAAATGTTCCAAATCCAATATTTTACTCTAAATAGTTGATTTCAGATTGACTTGCCTACTTTTTGTAGCAAAATTAAAAAGTTGATGTACCATATATCAAATCACAGTAATTTTATTAAATTATTATAAACTGTGTTTGTGTTAATATATGAAAAAGTTACTATTTGAAATTACATATATGTACTACTAATTCATTAAAAATTAATCTGCTAAAGTGAACAGTATGTCAAAGAAACAAACCATAGGACAATATTTATTGCCTAATTGATGCACAATTGTTAAACATAATGCAATAAACAACAAAGCAATAAATATACAAAAAGAAAAGACTGTTTACAATATATACAAAACTTAATGAATTAACTTTTTTCAGGTTGATTGCTTAGAACAAATCTGTATGCCTTGCAGACTGAAAACTTGCAGAACTGCCTGTAGGTAGAGGCAAAATAATAACAAAAATAAGCAAATACAGTCTATGGATACTGAAGTCTAATATATCTTCTATCATTGAAAATGTGTTTCTGATTCCTAACAATATCATAAATAGACATGTTATCAAGTTATCTTGGCGTTAAAATATTTTGGGATTTATACTTACTAATCAATCAATTATATATATATATATATATATATATATATATATATATATATATATATATATATATATATTATATATATTAGAGGTTTTAAATTATCCAGGTTATACATAGTATAAGGTTTCTCTTTTATAAGCTTAATTTTTTGACAATTTTTAACTTATAGAATAGAAGACAAACATTCTACAGACCTGTGAATGGGTTTATCCCTGGGGTACTTGTAGTTGCTGGCACTGCTGCTCCTAACGAGGCAACGGCTTCTGAAGATGAATCATTGGTAGCACCCGCCTTGGCAGCAGCTGCTGCCTTCTCCTCCCTAAACAAAAACAATGTCCAATCAAAATTAAAAAAAAAAAAAGAATTAAAAACATCTTGTCAATTTCTCTTTGTAGTAAAGATCTTGGTACGACTTTCCATTGACGTCCATCGAATTGGAGGTGGGAGGGGTGGGGGAGTGCGGGGGAGGTGTACTACTCCCCTTAAAAGGGAAAGTTGCGGATCCCCCCCCTTTTGGGTTTTTTTCAATTTTAATTCTGAGGAAAATTTATTTTTTATGGATAAATATTAAGTGTAAAAAACCATGGGGACCTCTTGGGGGGAAGGGGGTACCCCTTAAGGAAGGGGAACCCCCTTCACCGAAAATAAATAGAGACTCATTCAGAGGGATTTCTGTATCTATTTTGAGACTGCAACATCTCCGGTGCTGCAGGAAGAGCAGCCTCTACGCCTTTGCGTAACAAATCACAGGCATCCAGCCTCGCCTCCGCAGCTTCGGCTTGTTAGTAGCCTTCGGCGACCAGCCTCAGCCACTCCAGCTCGTCCGATGCCTATGATTTGTTTCAGCAGGCGGAGGCTGCTCTCCCTACGCGCCTCCAGCTCTAAACACTCTAGGGGTAGGACAGACTCGTACCACGTGGAGTCAGGGTCTATTGATTCGGTTCCTTGACATAAGTTGAACCTTATATAAGTACCGTGCGCTAAGTTGAACCTAACCTATTTTATTTGTTATCTATCCTAATAGGTGGGTACTGTTTTATACACATGTTTTATACAATTTTATACACATATTGCTTTAATTAATTCTTAGAAATCGTCAGTTTTACGTTACGTCCCACAAGCCAGCAAAAAAACACTACACATTTTAATTTTAATAGCTCATAATGATAATAATTCTGTAATTTAAATATAAACTGTTAAATATATGTGTATGCATGAAAACTATTTAAATGAGTACAAAATATAATTATTTACGTAAAATGTACAATAAAATGCTACCGAACGTATGACAACTTAACCGTACGGAAAACGAACGTTCAATGGCGAGAATTCGATGTAATCTGTGGTAAGGATTGACGTAAATATTATAAAAATAATTGATTTTCAACAATTTATTTCTCAAAAAGTACGCGTTTCCGCATGTTGAAATTTTGCGTGTGTGTTTACAATAGTGTAACCTTTCTGTAAAAGAAAATATATAATCTGAGATAGGGATTGACATAAATATTGCAAAAATAATTGATTTTCAATAATATTATTCTCAAAAAGTACGCTTTTCCGCATGTTGAAACTTTACGTGTGTGCTTATATTAATGTAACCTTTCAGTAAAAAAAATATCAACCCCCAACTCGACGAACTTCAATGGAAAGCTTAGCCAAGATCTTTTACTTCGCACTACTGCACATAGTAGTAATACCAAGGAAATAATGTATAAATTTATGCCGCCTATACTTATAAATATAGCCACTATACTTAGTTGCATATAAAGTAATAAATATAACTAATATAAACGATAATTATGAAATTTGTGTAAATGATTGACCGTAAACAAGCTGCGTAAGCAAAGGAAACAAAACCAAAGAAAATTACTGAAAAATAACAAAAAGCATGGCATCATGTACACATCGCGAACATGTGATACAAACCTTTTTCTCTTAATAAAAGGGTCCATTACTTCAATTCGTCTTTTAGACATTTTTAAATAAACATATAAATCACTTAATTATAATGGAACCTGAGAAAATTCAATGAATTTCTCAATAAAATGAAAAGCCAACAAAATGGCGACCAATGGACCAACCAGTCTAATAAACCATAAACAACAAATTCACAATACAAATACACCTTGATTGTTAGGGAAGCAAAGTTTAAGACCATACAGTCTATTGTCAAGCCCCACCGCCACATACAAATACACCTTGATTGTTAGGGAAGCAAAGTTTAAGACCATACAGTCTATTGTCAAACCCCACCGCCACAGCCCATCACAGCGCAACACTCAAGCAAGCCAAAATGTTATATTTGGTAGTGCCATGCTGCAGTTATATTAGTAAACCGGGTAGGTCAACGCTCTCACAGAATACCAGCGTAAAATAGTAGCTTAATGCTGCTGTGTATCGTATGGTGGTATAGAGAACCGGAGATCCCTTTTACACAGGGGTGACAACGCATCTGCATTTTGGTTCGTAATCGGGGATAGATGTCGTTGTCTATGGGCCACAGCAACCACTTACCATCAGGTGGACTGTGTGCTCGTTTGTTACGCTATTCTATAAAAAAAGTCCTAGCTAAGCCAAGCCAAAGCCTTCAATTTAACCACTGGATGCCTCTGGTGGGGGTGGTTATTCAAAACGACTATAAATCAATTGCAAAACGAATATAATATAATAGTAAAACTTTGCAACACGCTTTGTTTTAACACACACATAATACGTACCATTACATGTCGGTGGTTGAATAGACCTCGTGCTATATAAGAATATTATTTTGTAATAAGTCACATTTTAAGACTGAAATAAAATAAATCAATAAATAAAAACCAATGAGCACTTTTTCATACTTTTCAGACTTACGACTATCTATAATCGACGTAAACGTTATTTTCACGTCACGTCGTTCCGGATGTAGCGACCTGCTCCGACGATCGTCCTTAATGTCAGATTTTGCTGGGCCTGTAGTCGCCGCCTCAGAGGGTCGCTCAGAAGTGCGTACCAAGCCGGTGCAGCGTAGGTGATAATAGTCCGGATATACATCTTGTATATCCGGAGCTTGGTTCTTATAGGCAGCTTGGATGCCAGGACCGGCAAGAGCGTCGCCCGCGCACATCGGGCCCGGCGGACGACGAAGTCGACGTGCGCGGTCATGCGCAGCGTCCTGTCGATCCTACACCCAAGGTAGGTTACAGCCTTCTGGTACGCAATCTCCTGGCCGTTGAGGGTCAGCGGAGGTGGTAAATTCCTGAGACGGCGAGTGAGCAGAGCGGTCGTCTTACCAACGTTGACGATCATCCTCCACTCGTCCAGCCATGGTGGCAGCAGGTCCAGCAGACGCTGCATCTTGGCAGTGGCTATGTGGGCTCTTCTGGACGAGGTGAAATAGGCGCTATCGTCCGCGAATAGCGCCCGCTCAACGTCGTCCTCCCACTCTTGAAGTCTGCCTGCCAGTGTAGGTATGTCGTTGGTGTAAGCCGCGTACAGGACTGGTGACAAACAGCTGCCCTGTGGAACGCCGGCTTTAATGGATCTTGTTGCGGATTCGGCGTCCTCTACGCAGACGTAGAACTTCCTGTCTTCCAGGAAAGACGCTATTAGCCGCAATATAGCAGGAGGGACACTGGTCTGTTGTTCCAGTTTATATATTAATTCTACGTGCCACACCCGGTCGAACGCCTTCTCGATATCGAGAAAGACGCCCAACGATATGCGGCCACGATTGTACTCTGCCGCAAGCAGGTGCAGCACTCTAGTCAGTTGTGTAACTGTGGAGTGACCCCTCCTGAATCCGTGCTACTCCGCCCGAAGTTGGATGCACGGACGGAGACGTCTTAGCAGCAATCTTTCGAACAGTTTAGCTATATGTGGTAATAGCGTGATCGGCCTGTAGTTGGCAGCTCTACGCCTGTCCTTCCCGGGTTTCGGCAAGACGATGATTTTGCCTTTTTTTCCAGTCCTCCGGGAAGTGGGATGTCCGCAATATCCTATTGTAGAGTCGACCAAGCTCTACTATGACTCTATTGGGCAACTGTCGGAGTGCAGCGTTGGTAATCCCGTCATGCCCCGGCGCCTTCCTCGGTTGCAGGCAGGTTACTGTCCTCCGCAATTCTGCGGGGGAGATGAACCAATCTCCTGCAAGAGGTGGCGCGGGTGACGACAGGAACTCCTGTACGCGACTTTCCTTCCGGGCATGAAGCTCCATGAACTCCGCATTTGCTGTGTTCGGCATAAATTGCTCCTCGAAGTGCTCGACTAGGATATCCGCTCTGCCCTTGGCATCATAGCATCGTTTGCCCGTGTTATCAGTCAGCGGGCAAACGGGAGGTTTGGATTTGGTCAACTGTCGGTTTAGTCTATAAAGCGACGCATCTTGCCCTTCCGCCTTCTGGATGCACCGATCCCAGGCTTCACCTCTGAAGGCCTGGACTGAAACCGACAGTTCCTCCGTTAGGGTGTTCAGCTGTGTTTTGATCCTGGGGCAGCGAGTACGCGCCCAGAGCTTTCTTAGCGCTCTTTTGCGCTTAATCTGCACGCATATCTCACGCGGCAGATCGTCTCGCCTTGCTGTAATCGGGACGACCGTAGAAGCCGCGTGGAGGGCTTCCTTGATGTTATTGGTGATTCTAGTCGCAGCGGCCTCTACGTTGTCCGCTGTGCATATAGGTTGGTGTGCTGGAGGTCTCTGCTGAAGGTGTTGACAGTAGAGCCTCCAGTCGACACGGGTTTTAAAAGCTCTAGGCGGCGTAGTCACTGCCTTTAGGCCAAGGGTTATCAGTAACGGGAGGTGCTGTGAAGGGAGGTCGTACAGCACTTCTACCACTATCGGATAGTTGACGTTCCTAGTGAGCACGATGTCTAATACATCCGGGTGCCTCCTTGGGTCGGTAGGAACGTGTGTTGGTTCCTCGGGACCTAGAACGTCGTACTGGTTCTTTTCAGCATCTTCATAAAGCTCACGACCCGGTGGGGTGATCACTCTGGACCCCCACGCCGGGTGTTTTGCGTTCAGGTCCCCGGCGATGATTACAGGTGCATCGCCTTCCATTACCGTCCGGATGTCTGAGGAGCAGAATGGAGTCCCTGGCGGGCGGTATGCTGCGTATATCCTTAGTTCCTCGCCCGCCGCCTCCATTCTTATGCAGATTGAGCGCATTGTCTGGAAGGATGGTAGGTCCAGCTCTTGGTGGACGATGTCCCTCCTCACTAGAACCGCCGTCCCTCTGTAGGCGGCCCCTCGAGAAGTGACCTCGTCCCTTCTATAAATATGGAAATTTGGCAGCTTTATGCGCGTTTTTGGATTCAGTATTGTTTCGCCCAGCAGTATAATATGTATGTCCTGTTGCTGGGCGACAGTGCGGAGTTCCTGCAGCTTCTGCTGGATTCCGTCCGGGTTCCAGTACATTAGGCGCAGGTTATTATCCTCCATAGTGTCTGGCCAGGAGGTTTGCCAGCGCCTTCATAATCGCTGTTATTGGATCAGTCCCGGCTCTGATGTCGGCCAGGACTTGTGTGCCGACCTCGATGGCAATTCCAACTAGGCGCTGGATTGCATCAGCTGTTTCGAGGCCGGCCGTCGGTGGTCTCCTATCTGAAGGCGTTGGTGCCGGTCTCGGGCGTTGGACTTCTTGTTTTTGAGTAGAGCGCGCTCTGTGTGTAGCTCGGGCTCTCTCCTCTGGTGGAGCCCTCTCCTGCACTCTACTCACGCCCTTTTTGGTGGTCTCCTTTATAACCTGCGCCTGAGGCGCTATTGGTCCTGGTGTTGGGGTAGAGGTAACAGCCCGAGGAGGCTGCGACTTCTTCCTGCTTCTCTCCCGCCTCCTCTTTTTTGAGGGCTGCCGTTCTGTGGCAGGATTGGCGGGAGGTTGCAGAGTCGCCCCGGTGGTTGCCCTTTCCTGTTCGGGTTCCACCGTTTCCTTGCGTGGTACGGGTGGGGGGGGGGGCTGGTTGTCTGCCCTTCCCCGTAACAGTAGCCCACCCGTCATTCTGGATGGTGATGGCTTTAGGGCGACTCTGGGGGATCCTTTTCGGGTCCTCCGGGAGTAGCCCCGGTAAGGTTATCCCCTGCCTCCGTGCAGTCCTCCTCAGGACTGGGCAGCGGCGGTCATTGGCTGTGTGATTTTTGCCACAGTTGGCACATGTGGGTTCCTCCTCTCTACCCCGAGGGCAAAGGCTCGCTATATGCTCCCCGGCGCAGCGTACACACTTCACCGGCCTGAAGCAGTTTGCTGAGGCGTGTCCAAAGGCCTGGCAGCGGTGGCATTGTGCCGGTCCTGCTTTCCTTTGCCAGGCCTCAATAACTACTCCTCTCATGAAGAGTAGTTCGTCAACTTCATAAAGTCTTTTGAGCTGCTCCAGGCTCAGGTGGTCAAATTGGGCAAAGTATACGCATCCTGGTCTGCCCCTTCTCGGTGGGATTGCTTTAACATATTTGACCGGGAAGCCCTTTGCCTTTATGGCCTCCTCTATGGTACTGGTATCTGTGCCCATTGGTAGGCCCCGGATGCCCACTTTAGTGGGCTTGTCTTCATCCGGGGTATAACAGTACCACGACATGTTAGGTGTTTCTTTGGAAAGTTCAATCATATACCGTTGAACAATCCTAAATTCCGTGGCACTCTGCGGTGTGAATCGTACTCCCTTCCCGAATGGACGGGCATTCAATGGGTGGCCCAACATTCTGTTGAGCTCCTTGAAATGCCTCGTCCAGTCCGGGAGGCTTTCCGCCACTATGGGCGGATATCTGGTCTTCTCCTCCTGGTCGGCAGGCTTATCAGAAGTCGCTGCCGCCGGTTTTGGTCGCGGTACTGCTGGCGCAGCTACCATATGGGCGTAGCTAGTAGATGGCCGTTGGCCATCATCCTGCGGACGCCCGGACGGATTTTCGGTAGTCTTCTTCGGCGACATGGACGGCGAGTGTCCAGCCGATGTATTCGGGGCTAAGGTCGCATATGTTGTGGCACTCCAACCATACGACCCTTCTCCT